GAAGCACTTTTTCTTTATGTGAGAAAAACTATCAATTGAGAGAACACTGAAAATTCTTGCTTGTACGTCACAGCATTAGATCCTCCAATTGTACTTTGGCAATAATAGTGTGGGATGTGTGTGTGTGTGCACACGTTGAACCTGTTTTTTAGGCTTTAAGGTAGGTTTTTAACTGAATGTTTCATGCTCCAAGCCTGGGAATAGTTCTCCACTACCTAGTCCCTGGGTGGCAGGGTAAGAGATATGTGTGGCGTCAACTGCACAAGATTTCTGAGAGGTAGTGCAGAAGCCCTGCTCTGTTTTCTCTGGGTATATTCAAGCTAGGAATAGCTACTCTCCTCTCCGCCTCTGAGATAATTTTAGGTGTGTTGGCCAGGCCAATGCATCACCTGGCTGAGCTGGGGGAGAGCTATGGTGAGCAGCACATCTGGAGATGAAAATCTTTTCTCCGCATTGGTGGTATTTTATAGATGTAAGCACTGTGTGAACATCCTCGTGGCAGCTGGCACATATGGCCTTTGCAGTGCTCCTGGGATGAGGCCATGCTGAGAAGGGAGCCAGAGTGAGAAAAAAGTGTCTTTAGCCTGGGATGCTCTTTCCAGCCAGGTAGATAGTTTGGCTTTAATTTGCTTTGGAAAATAAGGCTTCTTGGTAGACCCGGTCTCTGTGGGATGAAAGGTGGTTAAAAAGCAGTATTTTCCTTCTCCTGGGTAAGGCAGTGTGTGGGCTTGACCCACCGAGCAGCAGCCTGCAGCCCCTCTGCTTTGAATATTTGGGTTTCTGCCTGGTAATGGGAAGGTGACTTATTGGGAAGGTAATGTGTTTTCCAGTCTTGGTAGGTGAAAGGCTTTGATGGATGATAAAGTGTGCAAGGGAGGAAAAATGCTCCTTACGGATATTGTCTGGAGAAGATGTGGTATTTTGTAGCCTTATGGCCTCTAAGATTGAATTCTGCTTCATTTTTGATTGCAAAAATGCTATGCTATGATTACTGAGACTCCAGAAAATAGCGTTTTAAATGATGAAATAGTACCAGATATATCATTTGCCTCTGGCATTTTTTTTTGGAACTAAAAAGCGAGCTACACAAAGCTTCTTGAACGGAATATCTTAGGTGGGCAGTTGATCTTATTAGCACCTGAATAGATGAAAACAAAATGAATTCTGTGCCAGTACTTTATGGCTCCTCAGCAACTTGGACTGGGGTGAAAGTGATAACAAAGATAACATAAATGCAATATTAGCCCCTGCATAGGGGGATAGTTGCCAGATCAGTTTTAAGCTGTGACTAAATCCTCTTGATGGTGCACAAAAATCACCCTAAAATCTAGTCTCCAGGCAGATTAAACTAATCCCTCACCTTCACATGCTAACATCTCACCTGCCTCATTATTGATACATGTATTATAAGCTAAGAAAAGGGAGGAAGAAATAAAAGCAGAGCAAAGTCCTGTAACTACGGGGAAATGTGATCATTTGAGATTTTCTTGAATGGTAAATGCGTGGATGCCTTAGAAGTTTAGATACCATGGTGATAGTTGCCTTAGCAATGTTTTAGCTGTGTAGGTAATCACAATCAAACATGTCTCGTGTGGAAAAATGATGCTGTATTATTATTATTATTATTATTTGCAAAGCTTTTGTGAATGTGTAGTAATGTGGGTTATGATTTTGTATCTCGGCATCAGATTTTCTCTCAAGCTTCTTGTCCTTGGCATTCTTTTATTTTTCACTGATGATAATTCTGAAAATAAATGTCTTTATACATTTTATTCACCCAAGGATCCTAATCTCACAATTTTCGGGGTGAGACTGCATTTAGAGTTTGTGACCAGACTCACATCTTTTAAAAGCTGGAACAGCCTGAGTTGCTGTAGTTGAACCTCAGGAAACCTGAGCTGTGGGTTCACTCCTCATGTTTCTGCAGTCTCACATCATTTCAAAACCTGCATATTTTCATAGCAGATATTCAGACAAACCAAGTGTTACAAAAAATGGAACAAAGCTGTAGATATTTCAGTTATGATTTACAGAATATCTTAGTAAAATCAATATGTGAATATCTAGACACTGAGACTGAAGACAAGAGGCGCCCAGGTGCTCGAGTGGCAGCGGTGGCCCCTGCACAGGGGCCACTTGCCCTCTCAGCACCTCCGGTTGCTGACTGCAAGGTGCAAAAGCAGCAATCCCCGCTCTCCAGGACTCTCCCTTAGCCCTTTTTCTGGGGACATGGAATTTCATTGCTATCTAAGCCATGGGGAAGCCTGGGGTCAGCTCAGATTGTGCCTTTGATCACCATCAGCTGTGCATGTGCTGCTTATAAAGCACATAAACTCCTTTGCTGGCAAAGAGGTTTGTCCCTTTAGGGAATGTTTGCAGGAGAGATATTACCCCTGAAAAATTGAAGTTTTGGGTTTTCTTGCTACATATCAAGCATGCCCAGCTCTGTAAAGCTGGACACTTCATGTTTTCCTCCTTCTGGTAATTCCAGCACTCTCCCTAAATCACCGTTCCTTTTTTCTTCTTCTCAAGAAAACTAACAAAAAGCAAGCAAAGGTTTGTGCAGATGTTTTCCAGGCTGCTAATGATGGGTAGAGCCAAATCTGTCCAACTGCTTGTAAGGACAGGTGAGAACCAAGGACATTTGGAATAGAACAAAAAAAAAAGTAAGACTACAGAAGGAAATGCCACCTGGGAAAATTCTGATTTAGATTTGACTAGCAGGCCTGCTGTTACTAGGAGCCAAGATTAGTGTGTTCAGTCTGGTCTTGCAGCAGCCTCTGTTCCTTCTAGACTGTGAGGCTGGGAGAGCTCAGAGCTGCGCAAAATCATCATTAACTTCTTGTTGCTCCCATTTCTGGTGATTTCTGCTCCTGGGATTGAAGCAGAGCCTGTTCCCTAATGCTGTGCTATTTTTGTTTCCCAGCCCTGCAGTCCTACCTGTGTTGTCCTGTGCTGAGGTCTCTGGAGGGAGGAGCAAGGATGTGCCCCCTGCTATGGGACGTAAGAGGGTGACAGGCCTCTTTCCTGATCCTGCTGTCCTCCGTGGTGGATTTGGCACTTTGCATTTAAATATTCCAGTAATTAGATTCCACAGCATGAGTTTAAGACAGAATGTTCTTTAGCTCCCTCTTCATTTATTTGTGCACTTTGTGGGATTCTGAAGTGCTTTTTATAACTTTTCACACCAAATTTTAATGATCAGACTGTAAAAGTTTTTTGACCACTGGGTACTAAGCTTTATTCTAATCTCCATTGATAATCATAGAGCCGAATTTTCATCAAGGCTTGACCCACATTTTTTAAAAAATGCCATTAGTAACTTAGGAAGTGGTATGTTGTCTTCACAGAACTCGAGCATTTGATCTGACGAGGGGCCTTCAGCTGTGCAAGAGCTTCCACGTGACAGCAGCAGCTGTCCAAGGAGGTCTTCATGCACTTGCTGCCATGGGGCTGCTGCCGTTGCTGTTGCAAGAGAAGAGTGCAGTGAAATGATGAACTAGCGTTGTTATAACCATGGCAGACTGTCCAGTTACTGGGCCAGGGGTGTATTTCTGAACTGGTGGCTCTTTTTGCCACCAAAGGAGAGGAGTGTGCCAAGTAGACTGCCACAGTCAAGTGATGGTACTTCTAAAACTGCTTTCAGGTTGTTTCTATCTAACAGGAGAGGATCAGGGAGGGTCAAGATCTTACTAACTCTGCTTTTAGAGCTAGTGATGTGCTTGGTGGGCACCAAAGAGCGTGCTCTCTTGTGCCTCATGCCAGAGTGAAGCTGAAACGAGGCCTCGTGTGGAGCTGTGGCATGTGCTGTTTCTCCACATGGATATGAGCAGTAGGATCTGGTGCCTCAAGAGATACCTGTTCCCTCTCTGCTCATGCAAAGATAGGTTGTTTTTGCCCACAATCAAGAGCTGCTAGAGGAAACTCTTGGTAGCTCACAGATATTACCTGTCTGACAAAACTGAGACTCTGCTGTATGTATGAGCCTGCACGCTGACACCATATTAGTAGACTGTGGGGGTCCTTCTCTGTCCTGCGTGTATGATGAGGAGCGTTAAGGAAAGTCACTTTAAGAGTGTTTGTGCTTCAGCTTTGCTCTTGCAGAGGATAGGAAGGAACATGAAGAGCTACTGGCTATGTCTATACCAATAAATAAAATGAGCCAGGACTCTTCTCTGGCCCTGATGCCAGCTGTCCCAGCAGTGCATTATTTATGTTGCATGTGCCAGTCCCATGGCTGTTTCCCAGCACAGCATGGCAGAGTGCTGGCTGGCCAAGGCCATGGCTGTTCCAGGGAATGTGCCAACAGCTAAACAGCCTGTGGGATGAAGGGATACTCCTTGAGATCTGATTTAGTTCACCAGCAAAGACAGAGATCTTGACACCAGTTCTCTTTATACCATATGTTGTACACAGATGAGTCTCTTCAAATTTGTCTGGAATGTTGTTCCCTGCCCTACTCTAATAATGCTAAAAGGACTGCAAATCTGAGTTAATTCTTTCTGGCATAAACTGCATTTTCATGTATACAGAGCTTCCAGAATTGTCTTTTTATGTGTTTTTGAGGTAAAAAAAAATCAAGATTTGCAGTTAGCGCTGTCTTCATTTGTTTTTCACTAAAGAGTCAATATATCAACCCTCGCTGTTCCAGGGCTGAATCCCGCAGAATAAGCCAGGGTAAGTTTCTGGGAAATTTGTGTGAGAAGTTTGTGTTAAGCTAAAAAGTAAAAAGCTCATCTCTTGATGTATATCAAAACTTTATATATATATATATATGTATATATAACGGTTATTTTTGAATTGTGCAGGTGTTTTAAATGCTGGAATTATTCTTGGTGGAAATAAACCAACACAAGAAATATCCAAAGGTGCATGAAAAATCTACACCTTGGGATTTTGGTCAACACGCTTGTACCAAAAGCAAGCACTGAGTCATTTTCCTTTTGTTCTAATATGTTTGTTTTCACTTTGTTTAGGAGAAAAAAAAAACACAGGGACAGATGTACTTGGATAGCAAGGATGAGAGCACGGTTCCCAGAAAACAAGAGATGGAGCTGAATCAGACATCTCCTTCACCTCATGGCAATCTATCTGCAAAGGGGGTGTCCAGCCCGGTGAGCAGAAGTTGCAACGAGCTGCGGCTGTTAAGAGAGTATCACGGCATGGTAGCAGCTCTCGGAGAGCCACAGGCGCCCTGTGAAAACACAGCAATAGGGGATGATTGCTGCGTTGCACTAGGGAAGGATTTCACTCCTCTCCCCATGCAGGGAAGGTAAGAATAAGAGAAACAGCATAATTTTCTCCTAATCCCAATTTTTGTTTCCTTGCTGAGCAGATACATATCTTTATTAAGCAAGTCTTGTTTTTATCAAGTAGAGAACAGGAAGTTTATGGGACTTTGGAGCAGTATTAATTGCCTAAAGAGGGTCATGGATCATCAGATTGCTGAACTAACCTCAGCTTTAATAGCAACCATAGGTCAATTTTGCTGTGTTTTCAAAATCAAACATCTGTTTTTTCTTCCCTGTGTGGTCAGGAGAAACAAAAGTGTCACAAAACACACAGAGCTAAATCAGCTTTCATACTCCATCCCTAGCTCTTCTAAGAAGCTGCATACAGATTTCACAAGTGCATGGTAAGTCTTTAAACTGCATCAGTGTGGCTGAAAGTGAGAATATACAAATGATGCCAGTAACACAACTGTGACAGTCACACCACATCGCAGTATCAAACATACAGGGTGCGAACTCAATGAGAAAAGAGGCAGGCTTGGAGGTGTCAGGGGAGGGTTCATTTTTCTGCTGCACCAGATTTTCCAAAAATCTGAAATTCTTCTTACAGATATTTGGAAATGTTTTGAAGATCCTGCAGTATCCCAGATTTCATGTTCATGTGTTCTTTTTGCTAAACTGCTTTGCTCCTGGGAGTGGACAATCCTTGCGCCAGTAGCAACCAGCTGTGAGCTTGCTAGCCACAATCTTGCACTGCTGTAAAGGGCTGAGATGTGCCCTGTGCTTCTGCAGGCCTCTAAGAAGGAAATCTATTTGTACTAGGTAGAAATCTGTTTGTCTGGGGCATTTTGGTAGGTTCCTGCATCTGGACAAGGGGGAGCCAGGATAGCAAAGTGAGCTTTGGTGTGCCCCTTTCCCTATGCATGTGCTCTATAAATTCATGGTGAACCAAGTGAAGGGAACCAAAAGGTTCACTTGAACCAAGTTAAGTTGCTGTGCTCTTCAACTTATTCATCAATGGCTTGGACAAGGGGACAGAGTGTACCCTCAGCAAATTCATGCATGATACAAAACTGGGTGGAGTGACCGATACTTCAGAGGACTGTGCTGCCATTCAGAGGGACCTAGGGCATTGAGGAACCTCATGAGAGGTTGAGACAAGAACAAGTGCAGGGTCCTGCCCCTGGGAAAGAATAACCTTGGGCACCAGTACAGATTAGGGGTTGACCTGCTGGAAAGCAGCTCCGCAGAGAGGGATTTGGGAGTCCTGGTTGACAACAAGTTAACCATGAGGCAGCAGTGTGCCCTTGTGGCCCAGAAGGCCAATGGAATCCTGGCCTGCATCAGGAGGAGAGTTGCCAGCAGGTCGAGGGAGGTGATTTATCCTCCCTCTCTCCTCAGCTCTGGTGAGGCCGCACCTGGAGTTTTGTGTGCAGTTCTGGGCTCCCCAGTACAAGAGGGATGTGGAACTTCTGGAAAGGGTCCAGTGGAGAGCAACAAAGATGATGAAGGAACTTGAGCATCTGTCATATGAGGAAAGACTCAGCAAGCTGGGCCTGTTTAGCCTGGAGAAGAGAAGATTGAGAGGGGATCTTATCAGCTTATACAAGTACTTGAGGGGAGAATGTAGGGAGGATGGGGCCAAATTCTTCTCAGTGGTGGCCATTGATAGGGCAAGGGATAATGGGTACAAATTGAAACACAGAATGTTTCTTCTGCATATGAAGAAGAACTTCTTTACTGTGAGAGTGACAGAGCACTGGAATAGACTGCCCAGAGAGATTGTGGAGTCTCCTTCTCTGGAGATCTTCCAAACCCACCTGGATGCCACCCTGTGCCACATGCTCTAGGTGTCCCTGCTTGAGCAGGGGGGTGGGACTGGATGATCTCTAGAGGTCCTTTCCAACCTCAAACATTCTGCGATTCTGTGATTCTGTATTGAAGAGTATTACCATATAGCCTTGAGAGAACTAGGAATCATTATGACTATATTTCTACATATGAAAAACAAACAAACGAAAACTTGACAGCTTGACCATAAAAGCCAGATAAATTATTTAAAAGATTTTTTTAGGGTATTTGAGGATTTACTGTGTTGACTAAGAGCTTTATGGGTAGAATCAAGTCTTGCAGAAGTTCTTCAGCATGTAGCAGGGATGATGCTGAGCTGATGTCATCTTTTGAAACAGCATGGTAAGCGCAATGTATACGGGAACATAGAAAGAAGGATGGGATAGGGAAGGGCTGGGTTCATCTAGAACCACATTTTTTTCCTTTGGGAAACCTTATCTATATCTCGATAAAGATGTGCTAATAGTGCTTTTAAGTGTGCTGTTAACTACCGAGATACAGGACTGAAAAATACGGTTGTATTCTTATGGACCAGTTCTTACTGTTCTGACTAAAATTCTTCATGGTGTTTTCCAGTGAGTGATGTTATTTCATGCACCAGTTACAGCCAAGTTGTTATGAACTTGTAAAATCACAAGAACATATGAAACCACAGGAAATCATAGTCACAGAATCAGAGATGGAAAATACTTACTGAATCACAGCGTGAGTAAGCACAAGTGCAAGTGTGCAAGTGCCTGCAAGTGCAAGTAGCACCTCCAAGTCTTTTGATAACATGGTTTTCCTAATTAGTAAAATGTAATCATTGTGAGTAATTTAGGAATGCACGTAGAATTAAATATCTATCCCAGTGTCATCTTAAAGAATTATAGAACTGGGATAGGTTCTCCTGATTTTTTTCCTTAGTAGATTTTTACCTCACTTGCTCCTTCAATATAATTGATCTTGTTTTTTCCGCATGGGGATTAATCTTATTTGGCTCTTCATGTGTATTTCAGCCAATGAACATAAGGGCAGTTTTGCACCAAGAGTTGAGCGACTTCAGTTAAAATATGACTCTGCTCTGGGTTCATTCTGCTAATAGAGTAATTATCCTTAAGTCAGTCAAACTACTCAATATAATGCAGGTAAAACATGGATAAACCTTTGCAATCTCACACTTCATTTGATCAGATTCAGTAAATTGCAGTTAGCTTTATATGTTAATTGTTCTTATGCTTGCAAAGGAAAACCACTTTTTATGGTTTCTTAATCTTAAGGATTAAGAAAACAGGGGAGAACAACCCCCTTTTTTAAATAAAAATATTCAGTAAACTGACATGTATGTATAGTTTGTTTTCATACAGCTATTTAACTTTAATTGCTGAATTATCTTTCAGGGGTAAGATTTCCAGAGTCTCTAAATTGTTCAAATGTATGCTGAGACAAGACGTTCCAAAGAACAGAGGATTCATCTCGATCACTAAAACTGTCCTTAAGGAAATGTTCTTCAATTAACTGGTGCTCTTTAGTCAGGGAGGTAGCTGTCTGCCATATATTTGACTGAATGTTTTAATTTGACTGCCGGGTAATCCTGCAGGTATTCTGCGGTCAGTGTGCACATTGCATAGCCTGGCTCAAGGCCCAGCTTGTCAAAACATCTTGTCATTTACACCTTATCTTGAAGAACAGCATTACCTAACAATCCTTTCACTGCGTTGCCTTATACTCCCTGGGCTCTGTATGAAGTCTGAATCCCCCACTGTGGTCACTCTGAGGACTTTGTCATTCCCCAGTATCCTTCCTGTTTTTTTCTTTCCCGACGGCTCCCTGGAGGACATGTAGGCACGTTTCTTGAAGGTGGGCTACAAATAAGCTACCAAGACGTTAAGTGCGAATGTACCTGGCCTTCTTATGTATTAACACTGGATATATACTAAAATATTTGTATACTAGCATATTTATTGATACATATTAATATACTACTCTAGTTTCATACAGTACAGTTTGCTCTGGCTTTAAACTGGCAAAATGCCAGTGAAGTCTAGATGGTGATCTTGTGCTTCTATTCTCTTCAGCTTTTAAACAATTAATGGATCAAATCCTTTTTCATGTCAGTTAACATTTCCTTACATGAACATGGCTTTTGCAATCCACAGATGTTGTCCCAAGCGGCCTACCTGAGCCCCTTGACTAGTGGGAAGGTTTACTCTCTGGAAGCAGGGACAATGCTGCTCAGGCAGGCTCTCACAAAATTTCCAAAAGTTCAGGTTATTTCCTTCCATCATTTCTCTGTGGAGCTGTACTCATGAGCTGTTGTCACAGAGAAGGGCCCCTCGGAAGCCTTGATCTCCCCATCAGTAATGCTGCCCCCACGGGAGGTGCCTAATGACATGGCTTTGTAGCCACAAAATATGAAATCCTCCTTTATGAGCCTCAGGAAGGAGGCTCATGTCAGCTGTTTTCGGCTTAGGAATTAGTGAGTCTCAAAGGCCATGTAGAAATGACATGAATAGTAATCCTGTATAGCCAATTACTTGGAGATGATATTTAAGACTGTGTTACTGAAAAAGAGAAAGGCATTTTTTGTAATATAAAAATGGAGGGAAAAAAATGGATAATAGAGTAACTAGACCCTTGGTATTTATTTCACATTGCCCTTTTGGTCTGTTTCTTTCCTTGATTTAATTGCTGGCTATAACTGCCTTAGGTATCATTATATTCTTTAAAAAAAGATGGCAGCTGTGCATTCATTGTGCTGGGAACTTCTCAAGAGAAATGAGACTATAAAAGGAAGGTGGTGAAACCAAGCCCTAGTGTTACTCCGTTGAGTTATATTTGGATAAAATTGGGCCCTGGAATTTCCTGGTCATTTGATATAATACACTTTGGAAATATTTTCTTTAACTTTTGTATCTCATTTAGAAGATTCATCTCTGGGAAAGCAAAAAAAGAACATTTTTTTTTAATCTGCTTGAATTTGTGTTTCATCAGGCAAAACTACTTCCCTCAGCATATCTCTATTCTCTCAGCTTCACTTTTACAATGTTCACTTCTGTAAGAACAAATAAAAACCACCAGTGTAATCCAACTCCTCCTTTCCCCTGAATCTGTGATATCAGGATCAATAAAGAAATTGATTTGCAGTGAGTAGGTGAGTGAATTTAAAATGTCTTTTGAATTCTCTGGTCTCTACCAGAAAGATTGGAAG